ATATCCCGTAGATATTTTATAATATAAAAAAATAATATTTTCTTCAATTGGTATTTTATATTTTAACAACATTTAAAGTAAATATTTTCCAAATATCCAAAAAACATTCTGCAAAAAAATGTTTTACAGAAAATATAGTTTTGCTGTTTGCATAAAATGTTTTATAACGTAAAATTAAAATGTTTTACATAAAACATATGAAAAATATCAGCTAAATGTTTTCTATAAAATATTCTGACATACACATTACTTAATAGTCTTACTGATATTTTATTCAACATTTTACGGATATAAAAATAACATTTTATTTAAACTTTATTCAAAACCCCACAAACAACGTCTTGTGGAATTAGCTCGTTTTTTTCAGGATAAGATATAGTACTACATTTCATGATATCAATATCATGACAAGCAAGATACTATGGTTGAAATCCTTAATTGATATCTTGAAGATCCTTGAAGTCAGATTTTATTCCTTCTTATATTAAAATTCAAAAGAGTCAACATCAAATTAAGCAATAATGTATTAATAAACAATCACCTTTCTTTAATGTTTATTCATTTCGTTCGTGTATATTTTAGAAATTAAGAAATGAAAACTGTAACTGTACTAAGTTCAATTTTCGTATCGTTTATATGCCTTACGGAAAACCGACCTTTTCCGGAATCGACTTTTGTTTTATCACCGGAAATGATTTTGAAATTTGAATATTCGAAACGAAGACAGAATATCAACAAAGAGAGCCAAGAAAATTGTTTGTTACGCGATATATACTCACTTGGTAAGAATGATTAATCTGTTAAGATGAAACTTGTGCATTCATTGTGTGTGTTCAATCATAATCGGAACCAAATAACATCTGTTTCTGGAGGTACGGATCAAGGTTTTGAAAAAAGGGGGCCCCTGCCCAAGGCAAGCAAACGTTTAGAGTGATACTTGTAAATAGTCTATAAATTTATCTTATAAGTATCTCCATAAGGAGGTCGGGGCCCCTAAATCCGCCACTGTTCAAGCATCTACGTACACCAATTTTGAATTTGTTCATTGGACATTGATATAAAAAAAAATATAAGGATATATGTAGCTTGTGTGTTTGATTGCCAATACATCTTATCGCTATTTTTCCGCCATTACTGGCCATGGACATCACAAAAGTTCACGTAAAATGTTGACGTCATATAAGAAAATATTTGACACCACAATTGAAAGTAATACACCTTATTGCTATTTGTCCACCATTACTGGACATCACACAACTGTCACAAGTTCCCTTAAAATTTTGACGTCATCATAAAAAATATCTGATGCCACAAATGACAATGGAAAAGTGATTGTTGTTTGATGTCAAAAGTTCAAGCAGGATAGATTCTCGGGTCAAACGGGAATAGCGATAAGGTGTATTATTGTATGACGTATGCTAACGTAAACAGTTCAAGCAGGACACATTTCCAAATACTGAAATAGCGATAAGGTGTATGAGACAGCTTTCCACCAGAATTTAAATGACTTGGATAAAAGAAATTATAGGTCACTGTATGGCTTTCAAAACGGAGAAAACCAATGCCATATACTAAGTCCACTTTGAAGCCTTGACAAACAAATGTTAAATTTTTCTCAACACAATTGAAACAAAACAACTAACTGCCTACATTAAATACACATTATAAAAAAGAAATTTGACAGACTTAAACCAACAACAACTATTGCAATAAGCATGACTCAATACTTTGTTTCCGAGGCACACAAACAAGTTACAATAACACTAATATACATGATATAAGCACCATTTGAATATGGAGATTTTGTTTCTAGTAAAATCAGTGTATGCATGTATTTGCAAAACAGTAAATTAAATTTCCCTTAACAGCTTAATGAACATTACAAAGACTATGTAAGACTTCAGTACAAGCAAGATAATATAAACTGTTGCTTAAAATTATATTTATTGCTTCATACACACAATGTACATACAATGTATCTTTTATTTTTTAACGGGAGCTAAAAGAAAAGCCACAAAGGACAAGTTCAATATGCAGGTTTACAATTTGGAAGTGGCGCAGGTTCTTTGGAATGTCTACAACCCTTCAGGAGAATTTTTTTTTGAAGTAAGATTTTCATACAGAATTAATGTTATTCCATATTTAATTCAAATATTTAGCATATACAATGCATTACATTCAAGATTAAGGGCATACAATACAGAAAAGATATCTGGATATTTTAATAAATATTTTTTTTTGTGACAAAATAGAAAAAAGTTGTTTATTTAAATCAATCTTTTAGTCCAACAGTGCGCTTTCATAAACAACATATTTGCTTTCCTTTGAAGTATTTCAAATACATATAAACAACTCATTTAATGACATCTGTGTGTTTCTCGGAAGTTAAGTTATATTATTATCATCATTGCGAAAACAATGCGTAACACTTCGATAAGTTATTATGTGCCTATAGTATACTTCTAGGACTGTATCATATGCCCTTAGATACAAATGACAAGTTATAAACTATGTCACTCTACCAGTCTACAGAGTTTAACACTTAAAAAGGACAATAAATGTTTAATGACATTATGTTGCAGGGCTTTTAAAGGCCCCTACATGATACAATGCATTTAATGAAAACTAAAAAAAAAACAAGAAAAACAACAGCCTGATTTATACAAAACAATAAAAGAAAAAAAATATGATAGACAACAATCAACGAGTATAATGAAATAAGACTCTTGACTGGACACATATCTCAAGTTTTTTATGTGTTTTTTTTTTAATAACTAAATGAAGTTCAGCGTGGCATATTGCTCTCTCTTAACACGGTCAGCCATTTATCGTCCCCTTCCGACAGACTATCATCGTTATTTGTTTCAAAACTTTAAAGGGGAGGGGATATATATCCTTCAGGCAACGTGAATCGTTCTATAATAAAGGAATGTGCAAGAAGTTTATATATGAATGTAAGATTAATTTTTTTTTCAGAAGCATGGCACAGCAAGAAAAAGATATAAGACACTACAAGACATTCCAAGTGATTTTGAATAAGACAATTGATTGACTTTTTCAATGTATTCTTAAATAAATCAAATAGTTGATGTAAAATGGTGTTTTGTTCTCATCTCTTCAGCCAATTATCAATGATTATTGACTTAAGATGTAACCCTATTAGAAGTGTATCGTTTTAGTTTAGAAAGAGAAGTTGTATTGAAAAATCTGAATTTGGGACACAAGTTTTAGTCAATGTTACTTGAACTTAAAAATGTGTATAATGTTTGTATAATGTCCAATGGCATATATGTCATGCATGTTCAGGTTGCCATATGCATGATGTGTATATAAGATAGGTAACAAAAGTTGAGAGTGAAAAACTAAACATTATACCATTATGGTTGGAATGTGGGCTTTCTTGCACTGTCTGTCGTCTGTCCACCTATATTTGTCGGATTTTGTCCAACAAATATTTTCATCACTGTTTTTCCCAAAACTGCTGATAAAGATGAGTTCATATTTAATGAGCTGCTTGATAGTGATGAACTGTGATGTGTGAACATTTTTGTATCTGGACATTGTATTTCAAAATGTTGAATGTTCTCAAATTTTTCATTACTTTAATTAGTAATGCTGATGAACAGAATGACTTCATATTTGGTAAGTGTCTTGACTATGATGAGTTGTGTCTGCCATTTTGGATGTGTCAAAATTTGTAGATACTTCTTGTTTTTAGAGACTTTGAATTGTGAATTTCATATGCTTAGCAAAACAACTGATTTATTCTTGTTTACAATGTATATATAGAATTAATCACTGTGTATAAATTAATTTAACTAATGATTTGTTATTTAACAAAGCAGGAAACTCAATCAAAAGTACAGAAATTTTTATATTGATATGATCTAGATATCAACCAAAAAAATTTTGAAAACATTTTTTAGGCACAGTCTCACTTGCAAGAAAACATCCAAACAACATTTTTATAACAATATTTGATGTTCATGATGTTTTTCAAACGTTCAGAAAATATTTCTAGAAAATATTTTTTAAAAGATTATCAAAATGTTTTATACGCCATTGTTTTTCACATTATCATGATATTTCTTTACAATATTTTAATTAATATATTATGCAAATATTTTAGAAAATATATTAGAAAACGTTTTAGCGATATATATTCTACCATACATTTAATGTTTTTCTCACGTTTTTTTGTGATATTTTCATGACATTAGACGTGCACTTGGACTTTTCCAGGTTTGTTTAATTTTTATGATATAGGTTAAGAAAAATAAGTTATATCATCGTTTTTACCTGTATACAAATGTTTTTTTGTGGATCGAATCAGTCAACGAAATAGTTCACCTTTGTTTCATACAATTTCCAGTGTTGACATTCGTTTCCATTTCATGGCCAAACACGACTTATACATTCGTAACCAATCGGTAATGGGTTGAATTGAAAGTCACATGAATACGGATTCAATGAAGTCGAATTATTCACTTGCAAGTGAATAGTTCATCTACGATGTTTCGTAGCTTATTTTTACAAAATTGAACTAAATTAGCTGTTAAAAGCAAATCATTATTTTACTATTTCACTTTCCTTAATGATGGAAGAAAATAATCAGTTATTTACTTATTTCATATCTCGTAGCTTATGCCCCTTCAAACTAGCTATATACTCTTTAAGGGAAAGAACTCGAATATTGCTCTGTTTGGATATTTAAATACTGAACTAATCTGCCTTATCTTGTTGAGAAAACAGAGAAAATGTCAGTAGTGTCATAATTTAGCATTGAAAATTAAACAAAGTTCGTCATAATTTCTTACCGAATTTTCGTATATCATAAACAATTGGTTATGAATTAAACAACAAATAATTAAAAAAATATTTTTTTTCAAGTAAATTTAAACTATTTAACTTATTTTGATTCTCTATATTTGAATATCTTTAAACTATTGTCGCCTTAATTTGTTGCATATTAGAAAGAAACAGTTTAATTTCTTTTTCAGAAGATTTATGAATATTGGACAATAATTTTGCACTAAGATACTTACAAAATAGACAGTGTTCAAACAGAGATGAGGATTCTTGTGTAGACTAATAAGGGATAAATGAACATATAGACGCTTTTTATTGTGCCATGGCAGATCTGCATATTTGAACAAACACACGAAAATATTGCCGGAGTGCAAAAATAATGTTAAACAATAATTCAACTGTGTATAAGATATATGACTTTAATCTGAAACGCGGAATTTAAAATGTTAATATATTGATTTGAATGCAAGTCTAAAACAGAATGGCAAAGTGAGCCTGAAGGTAGAATTACAGGCATCACATGAAACTCGTGGTCCTTGACTTATTTGACAATAGAATTTGGATTTGCCTCCAAAAAATGTCAGTGTGATATTAGACTCTTCTGTTGTAAGAACAATATGAAAATAAGTAGTTGGGGTATGATCGCAAATGACACAAATATACACCAAAGGTCAAATAAAGTGGATGTAATCAATTACAGGTCACCGTACGGCTTTCAACAACAATGAACAATAAGAAAATTCCATGCCAACTATAAAAGGCTCCGATAAGAAAAATGTGAAACTAACTTAAATAATTGTGAAAACTAACGGGCTAATTTATAACCAAAACAGTTACAATAAACAATATCACGGTAGGTATAGTGTCCGGCTAGGATCGTGGTTTTTTGAGTAATTTGATCGAGTTTTTTCGAGTGTGACCACTTATTTTCGAGTGAATATGATAAAAAATGTAAACAAACAGACTTCCTTTTTGACAATACGTGATACAGAAGCTTGAGTTCAATATACAAGGTTATACAAGGTATGCAAGTATTTGAGATAAAAATATTTTATAAATCCGACATTATTTTTTCGTTAAAAAAGTTAAATTTAGCCTTACAGTGCTTTTATTCCAAAAAACATAATAAAGCCATTTTTATACACATACCAATGCAAATGTCGAACCAAAATACATCCACGCAATATACAGACAATTCACAAACATTCTTGTTATTGCATTGAGAACAACATTCTGAGACTAAATTCATTTCTATATGTCCGGGTTTTTTCGAGATCAGTCCGGGCTTTTTCGAGAGCGGCCGTGTTTTATCGAGTGATTATACAAATTTCCTATAGCTTAGAATTTTATATGTCAGTGTATATACGTTTAAAACAATAAGAAGGGTAATTTTCAAGGCACGAAACCAATACATTCATCAGTTTGATAATGGTGTACTAACACTTACATTTTACAAACAAGTATAGTACATTTGTATATATTATTGTTTGTCACATCTTATAAATTGCATGTTCAGTATATATTTGTGATGTCAACAATCTAATGTAAGCATAGACAATTTGGATTGGGACGTGACAAGACAAGACAAGGCAATATTTTATTTAAGTCTCACCTCTTCATTTTATAAAACATACATATAGTTAATAAAAAAATATTATAAGACATACAAGAGCCACTCTAAAAAGAATTATGAAAGACTATCTAAAAAGTATATACAATATTTAAAATAAAATTGGCAATATAAAATACTTCTACTTTTTAATAAAATATCATTGCAAATTTTGGCAGTATAAAAGTACATACTTTCATCTGCGAATAGAAATATAAATTTATCGTCATCAGACATATAAAAAAAAACATTACATAGAAATGCCTGATAAAACAAATAACAACGCAAATCTTCATACAATGGACAATTCATTAATACATGTTTTTATTACAATTTTTGTTAAAAGAAATTCTATATTCAACTTAAAGACCTTCATACCTTCCAGTCTCAATTTTCAAAGGAGCAGTACCACTTCTAAATTTTGCAAATGTACTTCTATATTTTCCAGGTGTGTTTTTTATTCAATAATTTTCTACGCCAAATTCATTTTTAAACAGTCTGTAAGTTCGTGGTTTTCTACGTTCGTTTGACATTAAATCATTATACCATTATTCTTAAATCTATTAAAACAGATATTCTCAATATTTTTTATAACATGTTTATCATTAATTAAACCAGTATTACAAAACTGTTGCATATCAACTTCTTTAAACTTTGTGTAAACTCTGAAATTCCAATTTTTCAGTCAGTTATTACATATATTATTTGCCCATATAAAAGCTTTTTTGTGTATTTTGTTATTACACAGTTTTGTAAATCTACTATATGTTCTAAAAAAACATGTCCATTGTTTTACAATACATGGTATCCAACCCATATCACGTATAGGGCTAAATTAGGTGTGTACTTTCCAACACCCATTTAAAAACGCATTGCCCTATTTTTTTACAGCATTGATGCATGAGTATTCTTTACTTCCCATTAGACCTTTTCAATAACTCTCGACACCGACTAATGACACCTACAGTTTACAGGTAAAATGAAGGGGTCGTCTCAAAACTAAAAATCATTCATGAATAGTATAATTACTTTTACACCTTCGATTTATCGTTTTACACTATTTTGACGAAAGAACATATTTCAAACAAATATGAACTATATCTCTCTCTTTTGTATAGCATTCTTATTACATGTAGTTATACGACATTTTACGTTGAATTTATTAAACCTTCAAGAAAATAATTACTGCAATCAATTCACATAATCTGCCTTTTTTTCTTCTTAAATTTCATGATTATGTGAGTATTTAGATAAGCGAGTCTGTCAACGCAGATTGTTCCAGATGCCAATTGCGATTAATTCGCTTTTGTAATGCTATTTATGAAATTTCAGTGCTGAAGGAACATTGTAACAGGACTACCGTCCGTCCGCTAGAGTTGTGTTTCTCAACCGATCTTCACGTCACTTGTTGTACACATTCAATTTTCGGAGGGGTAAAAGCCTGTTTGTTTAAAGGTCAAAGAAAAAGGCCACATCGATAATTTAGTTACGAGAGACTACTCCGCTTTAAAATACCATGTTAAAATTGAGATGTTTCCTTAATGAACTGGAAACATTAACGGCACCATTTTTTTCTGCGCCACATGCGCATTTTTACAAATAATGTCTCTTCAGTGATGCGTATGGTATTTATATCCCAACTGAGCTTGTTGTCATTGCAGTGTCTTTTTGACAGCGCCGAACTGATTGACCGTTATAGGTTGTCCGTGTCCCGAAAGACGTGAACATACCTTTTCCCCCGTCGTAGATTCCTTTCCTTTCCTTTCCCTTTTCCTGAAAAATGACCTTCGTGTGTCTTGCAAGAAGCGAGAACTGCATACCCTTCCCCTTTTCAGGACAAAGCTTTGGTTTTCTACTCTTTTCTATTTTTTCCATGTATAAAGGTTTTTAAATTTCATCTCTGACCATACATAGGGGAGATTTAAGATCCCAATTATACTAGTGAAACCCCGCCGCATGTTTTATGCGCCTGAAACAATTCCTAAACAAGTTGGTCATTGCAATTGGTAAGTTTTTGTCACAATAAAATATTTAGTTTACAATTTGATATTTTGACATCATGCTTCGCTCTCATATTTAATTCCTTTTTATTAGATCAAAGATAGTAACATTGTTTCCTTTTTTTTCTTTTTTTTTTGGGGGGGGGGGGGGGTGGTGGGGGTTGGAGATTGGGGTCTTTAACCAAAATGCAGACTATGCGGTAACTGAATGTCTGTTTTATATGTTGCATTGTGTGATTTTTTTTCCTACTGCAGAAGTCATAAAAATAGCAAGAGAAAGAAAAAAAAAACCTTACGATTTGAATCTGAATCTGAATCAGAAGAGACACCAAGGGCCTTTAAAAATGTTGGTATCTATTTTGTTATGAGTACCATTGAGACATTGGAAGCCAAAATTAACAGACATTGTAGAAACATGTACCACCGTAGTCAACAGATATAAAACATTGATTAATTAAACATCTACTACAAAAATACAGGTATTTTTTTTTTTTCATTTTTCAACTCGACGTCTAAAAGAAATGAAACATTGAAGTCTTCCTTTTCTTCATAGTCAATTCACAAATAAATCTAGTTTTGATAAACAAATACCTAATAAACAAAATAAGGTACGGTACACAACAATTGCTTATATACACGTCATGTTTGATAGTGGTCTCATTGGCAATCAAAATAATCATATGCGATCAACAATATTTTTTTCAATTTTATTTTTGAGACGACCCTCATATCTCACCTGTCGTAGTCGTTCTCAACTGTAGGTGTAGACAATTGTTGAAAAGGTCTAATATTGCAGTACCGTATTCAATAACAGACATAACAAGAGTGTCATAAAGTTTAGTAAAAGTAGAATATTCAAAACCACCATTTGCTTTGCATTTAGCAAGTAAGTAATGATCTGCTGGATGATTTTGTTACAATTTTCGCCATCTCATTATAATCTAAAAACTCATTTAATAATAAAACAAGATACATATATTTTGATACAATATCTAACTGATTTTCGTTGATTATAAATTCAAAATTTGTTTGTGTCACAGATTGTGTTCTAAAACTCTAAGTGTGTTAAGCTGACGAACTATTCATTTAATTGTTAATTATATATGAAATTTAATTCAAATTTTATTGTGAATTGGAATAAAAATGGGGCGAATTAAGTGTGTGTGTGTGTGTGTGTGTTTTTTTTATATAAATCGATTTTTTTTTGTGGGGGCGGGAGCAGTCATCTTTTACATGTTGTAGTAGAATATTTTTTATTACATAACATTTTTCTGATTCTTCACTGCAGTCCAGTAGGTTTCTTACTCCTTTATTAAAAAAAATCTGGAGTTCACCATAAAAATTATATTATTATCTGTAAAAAACTAAAGTAGCATGAAATGAAGTTGAAAAGATTATGAGTCCCCTGCACTATAAAGACCGTTTTTAAAGGATCCAGTAACTTTAAATTTAACACTGAAAAGTTGTGGTAGAACGTTTTCTGAACAGAAAATTTGCATTAAATTGAAAAAGGTTAATTTTGATCATCGTAGTAATATGTTTTGGTGATTTGTTTAGAATATATGATATTGTCCTTCACTTATACAGTCATTTTTTCAAGTCATGAATACCTTTCTTTTTGTGGACCGATTCACTCGAAAAACCACGATCCTAGCCGGACACTATACTTACCGTAAATATGTCAGACATGAACCAACGACAATCACAGAACTACAGGCTCCTGACCTAAGACAGACACATACTGATAGTGGCGGGGTTAAACATACTTGTGAGCGTTATATCCTACCCCTTACCAGGAACAGTGGTGTAAAACACAGTATAAGAAAATAATGTACAAATCAGTTGCAATTGGCTTAACTCAAAAGATCTTCACGAGGCACAAAAACAGCTAACACAAAACCCAATAGACACAAAACA